CTGGTAAAGAAAATAAAGCCTTAATATTATTCAAGTTGTTGAGGAGGTTTTGCCTGGAATACCGGTTGCACTGATTTGAAGAACAGATTCCAATGGAAACAGTGAAGATAATATGAAATAGAGAGGTTGTATCTGAGAGATTAAACTAAGCTCAGAGGTTTTGGTCAATGAAATAAAGACAGGGTGGTTATATTACACAATCATAACACTGAGGGGGATGCAGTGGGGGGAATCTAAGGGGAGGAAGAGATGTATAGAATAGCTATTTTAATATCAATGCTAAAAAAAGACAATTGGTTAAGTGAATAGTAGAACAATCTGGAAGTTTCCAACATAAAGGTCATGAGACAGTATTTTATCCAGTTTTAAGACAGAACTTGATGAGTTGACAGTAGAGCCAAAAGGCTGGCACTAAAGTCCAGGAGGAGTCCCTTTCTAATCTGACACTGTTGTTTCTCTTCATGTGTCTATGAAAACAGAAAGAAAACAAATTACTTCTTGTATTAATATTACCCTACACAGCCTAAATTGCCTAAGGGCTACTATTGAATAACCAATAACTGCATACTATTGAATAACCAATAACTGCAATGGGAAAATAATCTGACATGTTGAGGAGCTCCTTAAATTAACATTTTTTAAAATAATCTTCAGCTAATTAGTGATAGAACATACTAACATTCTCTATCCAATAAACAATTCAAAATATTTATCACTTTTCTTTGCCTAAACTTTTCCATACTTGTCACCAAGGAAAGAATGATCAGAGACTTAAGTAATCTCAATTTCCTTCTAATGAACCACTTGAGGTTTACAGTTGCTGCTCCAAAAAAGACTTATGAAGTACAATTCTTGCAGCAACATCTATCAGCAGCAAAATGTCACTTTTAAGAATTATTTTTTTAGAATTTAAACTCACAGCTCTAGCTCGAACTATCACTGTCACAAAACTGAACACATTCCCCCTGGGCATCCTTTGTAAGCAATATCACTCCTCCCACTGTAGATCATGGCTGCCTGAAGGACAATAAGGACTGCAAAAATAAAGTTTTCAGCAGCAAATAAACTCAATATTATCTTGAACATTGATCTTAATCTTATCCCCATCTTCCAGAGTGAAAGAAAATTCACTCCTCCCTTTCCAACAATCTGTCATCAATCATAAGAAAAATTCCTGAGCTGGAGAATAATCACAAATTGGATACTTGAGGAAACCCGCAACCATTGTAATTTCTACCTAAGGACCACTTTTGCATCCCTCTTCTCTGTGCTAGTTAGAAGTGTTCATACCTGACCTCAGGTCTCTGAGAACTAATTCAGCCCAGTAGAAGTGAGGAAGCAGTTCTTCACCATGAGAGTGGTGAGACCCTGGAATGGGTTGCCTGGGGAGGGGATTGAGGCCCCATCCCTGGGGGACTTTAAGGCCAGGCTGGATGAGGCTCTGGGCAGCCTGATCTAGTGGGAGGTGTCCCTGCTCATGGCAGAGGGGTTGGAACTGGGTGATCCTTGTGGTCCCTTCCAACCCTGACAGATCCTGATCTGTTTTAGCAGAGGACTCAGTAGTGTTGGCTTAATGGTTGGACTTGATGATCTTAAAGATCTCTTCCAACCTAAAGGATCCTACGATTCTATGATTCTAAGTTAAATGCTGGATGTGAATCCCTAGACTCCCTGACATCCATGGACTGCATTTGTTTATTTGGTTTTCAGTGTTTGGGGTTTTTGGTGTTTTTTTTGGTGGGGGGAGGGAGGACACAACAGGGAGTAGTGGTTGGTTTTTTTTTTTTTTTTTTTTTTTTTTTTTTTATACAAAGCAGGAACCTATGTTCTCCTTCACTATTTCATTCAAGTTCAGACTCATACTCCTCAGTGGTATCTGATGTAGACTAATTGAGGGATACAGTACACAAAAAAGGATATTAACAGGGACTTAAAGTTACTTCTACTCTCCTACCCTGAAGACTTCATTCCATCAATAAAGCAATCAAATTGCAAAATTCTGATTCTTTTCAACCAAACTATTAGATAACTATAACATATCTAATAGGACACGAGGTATGTTATTTTACCTACACATTAAGTATATCACTATTTTTAAAAGTCACTGTCATAGAGAGGAGTGTTACCCATAGACAAGGATTTTGGCTCACTTCCCCCAACCTCTGGTATATCAGTGGACAACAAATCAGACCTGAACATCAGAGCTTAGTCACATTTATGACAGACCTAACTGAACAAGAGACGTTTGATTCGAGATTTTTGAGAGACAGATTTAGAAGGAAAAACCCAAAAACTGTAAGCATGCCAAAACAGGTGAAAACATTTAAAATTGTGAAATAGGATTCAAGAATTTTTTCTTCTCCAGCTAGTCCTTGTTGGATAGACACTGTAGATGTCAAAGATACTACCTTTAAAAACAAGCAAGACTTATAACTAGAACAAATTTACCACCCCTGTTTCTCCTGAATTACTCAGATTTTAACAAAAGCAAGTTTATCAGATAAGGCCACACAACTCTTACCACAACTGTTTCCTCAAAGGGAAAGGACACAACTGATTCTTAAACTGAGTTCCCATATGGATTCCCATCCAAAGGCACACCTGTTTCAGAATTATTGCAGAAGTTTCCAAAACAATGCTTGCACCTCATGTATTTCTGGGCTGGACTGCAGTACTCCACATCAGAAGACAGGCTAAATCCTCTTACTGTCTTGTCATAACTCTCCCATCATTTTCAAGGATGTAAATAAAGCTTAGTTTTTTCTTTTAGAGATGAAGTACATTGCAAAAGTAAAATGCAGTAACACCAAGAGCAGTCTGACATGCTGTACTTATTTCATTGCAGTTTACTACCATCCCCTATTTTATTTGGTAGTTTGTCAAGAAAAAATAATCCAAATGAAGTTACTACAAAGTTAAATATGTTATATGTATTCAGATTCTTGTGTAATATAACTTCCTGCCTTTCAAGTTCATCACATCAGTTTAATAGAAGCTATTAAACATTTTTAGAAACATGTACTTAGTTACTTTATATCCAAGAACCAATCCAATAGCTCTCTGAACTAAATTTACTTTTAAGTAGACCTTGAATACATGAAGTTCCAAACAATTAGGGAAATGCAAATATTGAACAGACAACTTAGCCATTTTCTTGCTTCAGTCTCCTCAGTAATAAATGCCTTTATTCTTAAATCAAAACTATATGCACACATGCCTCTAAATGCCCCAGCTTGCCCCAAAAATCTTTCTCCTCAATTGTTCCCTCAGAATAGATCCTGTATAAACTCCTCTTTCAGTCTTCCAGTTCAAGCACTACCAGTCTAACCCTAGACAAGAACAATACAAAGACTTAGCAGATACAAAAAAAAGTATGGCATTAAAGTGTTTATAACTTTTTCAGGCAAGAAATGTGATTTTCTGGCAGATATATTGGGCTGATCCCTTCTTTAATCATACTGGTTTTGGTTAATGGAGTTAGTACTAAAATTTCCATGACATTTTACTAACCATTTTGTTCCTCCTCCTTCCAAATGCTATGTGGAACTACTATGCCAGAGTATGCCACAAGTGCTAACCAAATTACAAATCACAACAGCTGAACGTGAGAAATAGGAAGTGATATTTCTAGATCATCCTGAAGTGAATTACTCTGGTCCATTTGCTTAAACATCCACAGATTGTGTGGGAAGAGAAAAAACATCTCAGAAGTTACTTGTAATTTTCAAAGGGCTGTGTAAATAAACATTAATGAAGGCAAATACACAGCTTATTGCTTAGTGAAAATTTTTTTTAATCAGACCACTTTTTCAATAGCTCAGTGATGAAGCTTATCTACAAATACATACAGTAAAATCACAACATCAACAATATAACATAGGATAAAATCAGAGAGAGTGGGGAAGAAACACCAGCTGACTCCAAGTGTCCTGCAAGATGCTTGTGGCAAATGAACTCCTTGAAAGGACACATAGGACAATATCAATTGGAGAAGTAAACTGATATTATACCTTCTTAGAGCGAGTATTGTGTTCACTTCTATCACCTGTATTTCAGGCTATTTACAATTGCTGGGAGTTTAAAAAAAAAATCTTTTGAGGTTTGAGAGGAAGATTGCATTTTTTTTCTGTAAAGCATCAGAATATTTAGCTCAAGAGGAAAATCAGTGAACTCCCTTAATTAAAGCTATAGATAGGGAAAGGATATTTTCTAGCAGTAGGCAATCCTTTAAGTCAAGCTGAAACATGAAGATCCAGTATCCAGAAACTGAAGTAAAGACAGACTAAGTATAAAGCTAAGCTCAGAACAACAAGGCTAACGCAACAATATATTTAGAGATAGAAATATATACTGTATCACCTGAAGTTTTCAAGTAAACAAAAGTATGTAAAAACACAGTGGAATAAAATATCCAGACAGCATAAGCTTGGTTTAGAAGTTATTCTATTGACTTGCCTTACAGAAGTTAAGAGAACAACAAAATAATTCTTCTGATATAGAATTCAGACAACTAATATATTACTTTTGGGGTATCGTCATTTATATAGGTAGAAGCATTTTTTGCTTATGTACCTAATACCCCACTAAGATTTTTTTAAAACATTACAGTAAAGTGAGTAAATAAATCCCTATTAAAAAATTAAAACAATTTTCTTTAATTTGTCAGTAAGACAAGAATCACATTTTTAAATATCTATGAGGTTCTGTAAGCTAAACATTGAAGACCACATTTAAGATACTTTATTAAAAAGTTAAGATGTTAGTAAGTCCCTGGCTACTACACAACAGGTAAAACAAGACAAAATGTTTTAAAATGCTCACTTTTTTTCAAAAAACATCATACTACATTGGTTAAGATATATACATTAGAAATTACCAAGATAGGTCAGCAAAAACACATTGAATGAGACTTTTAATATGCATGTATTTAGCAAGAATATTAACAACATTAGGAATTTGGGAGAAGAAATTAAATATAAGGATTTACATGCCTTACAGATTTAAAGTCTTTTTAAATTTCTTTTGCTTTGAGCACTTCCTGGAGGAGCATCTTTTTTGTTTTTCCGTTTTGCAGATAAACTACTACATTCTTTTGACCCATGGAAAGCATGCAGACACAAAATACAGAACTCAAATGCACATGCCTCTCTGCTACATAGTCCCCATTTCTTTACCAATTGATATTTAGCAGGATATTGACATCTTGGACAGGGTTTTAGAGCTTCATCAGTAAACAGAGTTTTAGCAACCTGTAGCAAGAGGAAGGAGAGAAGAACTCCTCAGTTCTTAAGAGCAAATTAAATTTTTCTAGAGACTGAAAATAAAGAGTTTCTTAGCTACCCACTTTTATGTATTCCTCCTGTCTGCTAGTTGGATGGGGAACAGAACTGCATCTCCTGGGTGTAAGTTCAGTGTACGAAGGTAGTGTTTGTGCTGCAGGAGTTCTGGCTTGAGCTTGAACAGGCCTCAGAGCAGATCTATTGAGAATGTTAAATCTTGTGGCAACATCTTCAGCTTTTGAGAAACATTCCTGTTAAAGTTTATAAAGAAACACAAAAGGAAGTAAATTAGGATTTTATTTCATTTGGGATTTGCAGTGGGTTTTGCTGTAGTATGAAATTATATATAGTTCATGTATTCCCATTAGATGTTTACATTTAGTAAGGGAACAAGAGGCAGGAACCATTAAAAACAAAGTCCCATGAGCAGGGTAAAGAGCCAACTGTCTTAGCACTCTACTGGTCCTCATGTTTCTGAACGAGGGCACATCTCAATAACAAGCACAGAAATGGCAAACGTGAGTTTTGTCACAACTGAAAAGCAAGGTTATACTGAAGCACGTGTGTATACGTTTGTGAAGGAACTGAAGAAGTTATACTGCTAGTAATATTTACTTTTCCAGATAACCCTTAAAAAACTTCTATATGTCCTTATAACCAGGAAGCAGTCTACAGTGGGTCTTATAGCACTGCAGACTAGAATGAAATGGAAAATGAGGAACAGCATGGGACAAATGTACAAACAGCAGTTAAGATCTAAAGCCAGAATCAGTCAAGGAAGACATCCTACAAGATTCTCAGAAGGAAGGGGATGGGTGGGGGAGGGTATGGTGTAGTGGTGGAAAAAGAAAAAAGGAAGTCTTACATAGCTTAAAGACTAGAACTCAAACTATTGTCAGTAGAAAAATAAAAGCTATTACACTCTTCTGTAAGAATCCTTCACGTACTCATGTTGGAACTGTATCAGCTACTTTGCTGTAGTTTAGAAGACCTTTCCTCGTTCCTCTGACATGTTATCTTCCACACTTAAAAAAAAACCTTTGAAAAAATCTTACCCCAGCTTCTTCTTTCAGGTGTTTTATGTACAGCTTTCTCCTCTCATCTGCACTTTTATCTTGCACAATGATTTCACGCCAGTTTTTACTTACTTTCCAAATGCTGGAACAAATTCATGAAAAAGATTATCCACTTTCATGTTTTGCCAAGTAGCACTGAAGTCATGATAGTAAGACCACTTTTTGAGGATTTTTGTATGATTTCATATACTACTGGTAATTTTACAGACTATTGCCATATACTAGTTGACCATATTATGAAATGGATCTCATGTACTCTTATGCACCACTATAGAATAGAAAAGTCCAGAGGACAGTTATGTATGTAACATGGCATCTTTGACATGCAAAATTCAGTGTTTCTTCCTTCCCCATAAGCCACTTACCAAGTTAATTTCTAGAATTACATTGTGTGTTAAGTGTGCTGAGAACACTCATACCCCTATGCTTCCACCTACTCTTCCATTCGCTTTGTAACTAATAACACACGTGGCACTCGATTTCTTTGAAATAACTGACACTTTCTATTGATTAAAAATTAATCTAGAACATTACTCATGAAGCAAAATTCTTTGAGCATGTTTGTGCTTAGAAATAACTGAGGAAATTAAATACAAGAAAACAGTCTAGAAAATGTGCTTTGAGTACAATGCATTATTTGGGAACTTGTAATGAGAAATTACTTTCTAGGCTGAAAGAAATTTTAAACATTTTAAAAATTTAAGTATTGTGATTTAGTTTTAAGTTCACCAAATCCCATGTTTGACTTTGTTTTGGTTTTTAATTCCCCCCATACAAAATTTTAGGCTACACAGTAAGAGTGACTTGGTTAATGGTGACAAATCTTAAATTTCCACAGAAACAAATTCTGTTGCCAACACCTACTATTCCAGAATTTATTCTAATTTGCAGAACACATTTTCCCCCTTCTCAGGGTTGGAGGAGGGGAAGCAATAGTTCTTACCTGCATAGACTTTCTACTGTCAAAGCATCTAGAACTATAGCAAGAACATGTTTTAAATTCCTGTATTTTAATTCTGTTAAAATATCTAATTTTTCAAGGCCCATTTTCTTGCCAATAAGTCCAGCAAGAATATGTTCTAATGCAAATATTTCTGCTCCACCAGTATTCTCTAGTATTTGATTTTGGTCTGATCTTCGTCTTTGCAAGCAGATTTCATGAACTATTTTCAGAGCTGGAGTTCTTGAGAGATCTCTGGGACTTATAACCAGGTCTCCACGAGGCTGTTCTGAAGCTAATACACAGTCTTCACTGATGAAGTTTCTTTCTTCTGTTAACATACTTGCTGAAGTAGAAGGACTGACATGATAATCTTCTGTCTCTGACTGTGAGCCCTGTTCCCGAAGAGTGGATAACCTTCTAACTCGTTCAAGTTTTCTTGTCTTTCCTTTACCATCCAGAGATTTGGAACCGTCTTTATGTTTTTGGAACAACTCTTGGAAAGATCCCTCATGATCAGACAATGAGTCTCCTGATTTGTCCAAATGAAGTGAATTATATCCGCTATCCTCCGGTGTTGGAAGATCTGGGTAACTTGCCAGCTTAACTGGGGAAGGGTTTGTATCACGTAGTTCAAAGCTGAAGTTCTCAACAAGACTGTTGATAGAAGCCATGAACTTACCCTCATTGGCCTCAGGTAACACGCTGTAAGCAGGAGTCCTAAACAACCCATCATTAACACTCTTAGGGGCACTTTTATTTAATTCATTAATATTACTAACAATAACATCCTTACACCGAATTGGAGATAAACATTCTGGTTCTAGCAATAAGGAGCCCTTACATTTGGACTCATCTAGAGTAGAAGTCCTTTGCTGTGAAAAGGAAAGTTTCCAATTTGGGCAATCAGGATCAGAGTCCTCAGTTTTTGAAGTGCTAGTTGTCAGAGTTTTGCAGCTATTATCTTCTGGGGGATCTGAAGCAGTTTGTGAAAGTCTTTCTTGAGAGCCTGAAACAGAGAACAATTTTTTCCTGCTGCTTCCTGGAGAACTAACTTGTCTTTCACAGCATCCTACAGTTGTGCTAGCTGGAACAGATTTAGATAAAAGCAGCCTCCTGCGTAGAGAGGAGCCTTTTCTACTCACTTTAGGAGTTTCAAAAAAATCTGTGCTTCTATTTGCTTCTCTTCTTTCTGATGAGGAGATAGAATTAATTTCTTTTTCAATAGATGGTGACACAGAAAAGAGAGCATTTGGATGAACGTGTGCAGAATGCTCATGTAGCACTGATAAACTTGTTATGCTCAGTGCTTCTTTACGTTCTACATCAGGTTCTTTGACTGACTCATTGCAGCTGCTGTCCAGAAATACTGAAGTGCAACGTGTGTCTTTACAATTGGAGTATTTAGAGTTGCTGCTGGGAGATGTTAAACTATTTCTTTTAAGAACGTTGTACATTACTGAATGACTGTCTGACATCTTCTGCTTGGCACTTGGATTTTGTAAATGAAGATAACAGTGTTATTTCTGAAACAAACAATGATAGTAGTCACCAAAACACCTTCAGATTACTGAGAAAGCCTTGTGTAAGTCTATCAAGCTAGCAACCATGACAAAAGCACTCTCATTAATCTTAGTAGAAATGGTGCTTATACATGAACACAGTTAAATTTCAGTCAAGTGGATGGTTAGAATGAGTGATTAAAATGCATATTATACTGTGAGGGTGTCACAAACCTGTACCGAAGGGGCACTGGCTCAGGCGAAAAGTGAAAGGAAATTAAAATGTACGTCATTAGCCAATTGATCTGCCAATCCTCATTCAAGGGAAAACACTTCAAATAAGCAACACAGCAGCTAGAGTCTCATTAGTGCTGAAATCAGGTAAAAAATTCCCCCTCTTTCAATAGGGCCAAGATGTTTATTTGCACTGTGTTATTGGTTGATCCATCCACCAACAATTCAGTCCTTCAAAACAAGCAGAAACTCTGGCAATAGAAGTTTAGACAAGAGACTTTTTGTCCTTAAGAAAAATGAGAGGATTAATCATGAAGTTGCACGTCTACAGGTCTGCCTATTTAAACCTCCAATGTCCCTGGAAGGAATAAAATCTGACTTCTAGGTACAAAATGAACAGTGTATTCTTATCCACCTTGACATTTAAATGTTCTTTTGCAGAGAAGCTCTCTGCTTTTGCTCAGCTCTGTAGGTGAACTAAGTGTTCTGAGGCTTCACACTTTAAAGAAGCCAAGGGAGTGACTATAGATCCTCTCACTATGTGCACAGAAAGTTTCTTTTAAACTTGGTAAGAATAAAAGCTTATAAGAGCTGCTATATATTTTCCTAGAGAAGCTACAAGTGGCTGATGCGCCCATTTAATTAAGCAATGTGAGAATACTGACTTACTTTTTCACCATTCATACCTGGCAGAGTTTATCCACCCTAACCAGAGTCACCACTCTCTAAGTAATAAGACACTAGTTATTAGCAATAAGTCACTACATTCTATGCAAGACATGGTAACTGTATAAAATAATGTTCTGAATAACATCAGTATGAGGGCTGTTCTCACACAAGCCATAGTGATTTACATCAGCATTTCAAGAATTTCAAAGTTTGAATCGACACCTTTTACTGGAGTATGTTACTGGCCTCTAGAAGTGGTATTTTGGAACATAAAGGCTGGAAATAATGATTGAATTTTCAGAAAAGATAAAAACATGAAACTTTAAAGGTGGCTTAAACACCAAACACTAAGACATTGCTAATATCACAACAGTCTTGACATTGTAAAGCCCTAAGCCACCAAATGCAAGCAGTGGGAACTCAAACTGCCTAGGAGAGGAGGGGAGAACTAGTCCCTGGTGATCTTGGGTCATTTAATTTGCATTTTTTGACCTACACCAAAGACACTTTTTTAAGATCATTGCAATAAAGAAAGTGCTTTCATTTGTTTCCTACTGTAAGGAGACAGCAACACATAGAAGTTCAAAAGGAACAAGATATTAAACAGCAGACTGAGAATTTGGCATAAAGGCCTATAGAATCATGCTAATGTCAGTATTAAATCAAACAGACTTAACACACAAAAAACCCATCCCCATAATTGAGGAAAATTCTTCCAGGAAAGAAAGGTATGTGAAAATTATTCCAAAGAGACAATAAACTCTGAAGTCTGGCCTGCTTCCTTTCCCTCTCCCACTTACCTCTACAAGTACCTTACTTCCACATTTGTTTTCCTTCACTGCTTTTTCCTCATTCCCTGTTTTTATTTGGTGAAATATACAACAGCACAAGTAGGAAACATGAGGGCATAGTTTTAAGCTAGTTATTACATGAATGAGGGATAACTTCCTTGGCAGTGCAGGACCAATTCCAAGCAGTGTCTATTTTTTCATCTGCATCACTTTTCAATATTTTAGGCAATAGGCTGAAAAACGCTGTGTCACAAACCAGAAAATAACTTCTAAAAGATAGGAAAAAAGGTATGAAGAGTCTCTGTGTAGTGCATTGCTGCTCTTCAGTTGATCATTCACACTACAAGCAGAGAACCAGCACAGCTCTTGTTTTTTGTAAGGGGAGGAAGACTTGAAAGAAACCTTCAGTAACAATAGGGCATTATCTTTGTGTTATCTACAAGAAGAACAGAAGTCTAATTTTCTATGCTGAATTTTGGTGAACTGCAGTTAGTTTGCAAATGTTGACAGGAAATATTCTTACCAAAACCACTGATGGACAGAGATTTAAACTTTGAATGCTATTTAGAGACAGCTATTCAAAATCTCAATCTCACCAAAAAAAAAAAAAAAAAAATCCTTCCCATACCCACACTTACCTTTCAAAAAAAAATTTTCCTTAAACACAGTCAAACTAACCACACATTTAACAGAAGTGCACAGGCTTGCAAGTTCAGAAACTTAATGTTGAGGCAGCATGCCAAAGAAACATCAAAAGGAAAACTCACACTTGCTGTGTCATTCTCAGACATTCCATAGGAGAAATTCTCTAGCCTTATGAGCAACTGAGAGTAGAGAAAATTTCTCACGTCACATCAAAATAACAGAAAAAAACAAGGCTTTGCAGCTGTAGGGAGACAAACAGGAGGGTTGAAGGAAAAGTCAGCTACTCTTGTAATTACGCCAACGTCCATCAGGGAGAGCCTGTGAGCTTACTAGATTGATTTCGAGTAAACTGAAAAAAATTACAGGGAAGCCACTGCAATACAGATATTGGGTGAATATTGTCCGTTATACTTCCTTACAACAAATTCCAGAATACACCTCAGGTTTGTATACACTTTTTTTAAATATCACTTGTAGAAATTAAGATTTAATTTAACACAAAGTCTAATTTTACAACGAAATGAGAATTTTACAATGACTACAGAAGGGAAAGCCTTTCAGAGGTGCTGAATGTGTCTCAGAACAAGTTGGAAGTTTCATCTACTAGGTTTGATATGTAACATCAAGCCCTTTTCATCTGAAGCAATTTCTGAAAGTATTGTTAACCTTGTTCTAGACATTCCTAAAATAGATGTACAAGGAAGAAGAGAGTGGTTCCACAGCAAGTCAGTTAGAGGAAGGAATAAAATCCATACTTGCTAAGTATAGATTCTATGCACTTCTTATATCTGTTATTAATTTTGTAGTTCTCAACTTGATCTACAAGGCAACTGCAAACTTTCTGAAACAAAGTTTCCTATTCAGAGCCAACGTACATTAAGAGTACGATTCAGAAATTTTGACAAAGAATTTCTGACAAGTTTAGTCTTACGACATCCTCAAAAGGTAAAAAATGTTGGTTGCTAGAAAGTAATGTAAATGGTGCTTATAACTTCAACATGAGTTCTAGGATAGTCACACCTGCTGCTCGCGATACTAGTTAACATTTCCCACTAACACATGCTGAACATCTATGCCTCTAACAAAATGGTTTTTGTCCTTGTTGGTCACTGTTCACCATTATTAACAAAATATATGAAGGCAAAGTTCTGGTGATACAAGAGTATTTTCTCTGTTTTTTTAAGCAGATATCATACCTGAAGTAAAACTATCTAAAGGTTTTGCTCTTTGAGAGCCTGCGTCTAAAAATAAAAGAAGTCATTAATACCTTCAAAGGTATTAATATTGAAATTGGCATAGCTAAGTCCCATCTGTAAGATGCGGGTCACTTACCCTAATTTGTGAAGCAACTCGAGAACTTCCAAAGCAAAGGTGCTGTATTCAAAATACTGTTTACCCCTACTGACAACCTGAAGTGAGAAAAGATGTGGAGAGAACAGAGAGAAACATCACCCAGCTGAGACACAGTTTTCAGTTCGCTTACATATGCATTCACTGCAACCTCTGATTACCCAGCGACGACGAGAACCGACGGCTACCCAGGGGACGAGCACACGAGGGTCTCACAGTCACCTGGGACGCCAGACACGAGCAAAGCGACAGCCTCACCCCCTCAAGTGGCAAATCGCTGGGCACAGGAAACGGAGCCCAAGGGTGCCCTACCACTGGGCGCGGCCGAGGCGGTTGGCGGGGCTCCCTGAGAAGGGACGAAGCTGAGAAACCCCCGGCCCCGGCCGGCCGGCAAAAACAGCTCGCCTCGGCAGCTC